CTCTCACATCAGAATCCAGCCTCATATGTGTTTAGAGCTGTTTAAACGCTGCTTGATCTGTGCAGATTTCTCTCCTGATTCACACCAGAACACTGACTCACTGGAGGAAGAGTTATTATGGATTATGGACTCAATGTATTTGAGTTAAAAACGTCTTAATGCTGGATTTGTTCCAGCTTTTGTCTTCTCCAGATGTTAACTGATGGACTGGAGTGCTGTGGATTATTGTGATGTTTTTATCAGCTGTTTGGACTCTCATTCTGACGGCACCCATTCACTGCAGAGCATCCATTGACGAGACACTGATGCAGTGCTACATTTCTCCAAACCTGATGAAGAAACAAACTCATCCTGATCTCGGATGATCTGAGGGTGAGGACATTTTCATTTGTGTGTGGACAAAGGTTCTTTAGGTTATTAAATGTGGTTGACACTAAGAAAAAATGATTCTTTTAGGAACTGTTTACTGAAAGGTTCCTTGGGAAACCAAAAATGTTTCTTCTATCGCAGTACTGTGAAAACCCACATTTGCAGCCTTTCTTTTTAGAGCGAGGATGATAAATAATGACAGAATGGTAGTGTTATATGGTAGTTAATAATGTCAGGATAAAGTTTCTCCTTAAGGACAGCGGCACTGTCTTGCCCTGTGTTCCCGAGACTCCAGATGGTTGTGGGTGACGTGACTGAAGGATATTAATGTGTGGCCCGCGGTGTGAAGCTCGTGTGATGCTTGTTCTCGCTCTCCTCTGATCAGGCTGCAGCGGCGCTCTGGCCAAACAGTGTGTGTCAGCCTTCCCCGAATCAACCGTCACCATCTTTGACCTTCCCAAGGTCGTGAGAACATCCCAGCAGCACTTTGTGTCCAATCAAGATGAGCGGATCTGCTTCTGTGAAGGTACGTGTGTGAGTGTGTGAGTGTGTGTGTGGGAGTGTGTGTGAGTGAGAGTGTGTGAGTGAGAGTGTGTGAGTGAGAGTGTGTGAGTGAGAGTGTGTGAGTGAGAGGGTGTGAGTGAGAGTGTGTGAGTGAGAGTGTGTGAGTGAGAGTGTGTGAGTGAGAGTGTGTGAGTGAGAGTGTGTGAGTGAGAGTGTGTGAGTGAGAGTGTGTGAGTGAGAGTGTGTGAGTGAG